AAGAGTAGAGAGTTGTTCCTTAAAATATAAATCCTTTTATCACCTCTTCTGTTTGGTAGAACAGCATGAACTTTGAATGTAGACAGCAATTATGTGGTTACTGAAGGGAAAAAGAAATATGCATATGCTACATAGGTCTTTGCATATTCACTCTACTCTCCTTACCTGGAGAATGTGAGATCTTCAGCCCATGTCCCATTTGCAATTTTTTTTTCCAGTTAGTAAATGTTGCCTCTGGGATAGGTTTAGGTCAGGCAGCACTAACTTTTAATAATTGAGCAGAAGCTGTACCTGACCAGGGCCCACTCTGTAGTCTCCATCAGGGCAAGCAGGAAAGGCTACTAGTTTATACTTTGCAAAGGCCTTTCTAGTTCCTTAATGTGTCCCTGAAATCAAAGTAAATGGGAGAAGAATATTCCACAGCTATCTTAGGAGATTCAGTTTGATTCTCAAAATTGGCACAGAGGGACCCTGGAAATTGGCTTGGTTTCAGGATTTCCTGGGAAGTATAGATTTATTCATGAAAGACTTTTTCACATGGGAAGATGAAGTTGGTTTGACTCAGTCTAGTCTTCTTAACAAATGGAACCAAATTCCATGAAACTAACTTAATTTTCTGGAACCTTCCAAAATAACTATCATATAACTAGACCAGACTTCTTAGGCAGATTCTTTTGCCTTCTTGCTCAACTACCTATCTCAGTATCCCTAGATTTTCTGATGTCATAGAATCAGCTCATGAGGTGGGACTATGTTGACATCACTAACTCTGATTTCTTTCTTATCTCGGGCCTGTCTTATAAAGAAAGGTATTTTTCCAAACTTTTTTTTTCTAATTTTATTTGTCCTTTTCCTCAGCGAAAAGTTCTTGCATTTATTTGATTAAACCATTTTTACTGCAACTGAACATTCAGTAAAACACTATGTGTGTTTAAAGTATAAAAATATATATTTTGTTTAAAGTCATGATAGCATTATACTCTATTTCAAATCTCATTTCTGGATTTGTTTTGAAAATTTAATATTTAAAGCCAAAATCATATTAAATATCCATAATAAAAATAAATTAATTATGGGAAAATACATGATATAACATTGGACTGGTAATCAGGAGACCTGATAGTTGCCATTGTATGACTTGGAGCAAATTACAATTTCTCCAGGCCTCAGTTCCTCATTTGTAGAATGAGAGAAATAGATGATCTCTAAGGTTCTTTCCAGCTCTAAAACCTACGAATTTATTACTCTTACACACATATAAGCACAATTTGGCATACAGAAATAAAGTGGGATTAGGAATATAAAAATAATCCAGCAATATTTCTCAAGTATCTTTTAACTGCAGGGAGAGAATATTAACACATTACATCAAAGAAATATAGCTAGCATAGCAAAATAGCCCAGATGAATTGGGCTAGGTACTTCAAATAGGTAATGATGTAGGTGGGTTCAGGACTGAATAGATCAGGGTGGATACTATTTGACAGATTGTGAAGAACTTTCAATTATCCCAAGATGTTTTCCATTCCAAAAACTAAAAAATAATATATTTCTAATTAGCACTGTCAGCGGGGGAAAAGTCTGTCATCATGTATTCACTTTTTTTAACAACAAAATTCTCTTCATGATGCGAATCATAGCACAGAATAATATCAGAAATATAAAAGATTGCCAGTGATCCAAAGGGCAATGGAAAGGCCTTTTCTGTACAATGAAGTGCCATAGAAGATACAATTTAGGACATGCAAAAAAGAGATAGGTCATTTATATCTGAAGAAGGATAACTGAAGCGCAGTCTGCACTTTTACCCACAAAATATCAGAAGAACAAAAGGAATATCTCCAGAATGTTGGGTAGATCCTCTGGGGTTGATTCATGGAAAGACAGATAAGAATCCCATGGGATGATAGAAAGCATGGATGAATTGAGGGACTATTTATATTGAGATCATGACTCCATGAAGTACGCAATTTAAATAAGGAAGTTTCCTTAATAATCTTTAAAAAGAAATTAGGTGAACAAGAAGAATCATTTGATGACTAAGATGCTATTATAGATCATGTCATGATAGATGAAAAGTTGAGGAAAGTCCATATCAAATCCTTTGTGGTTTATACAACACAGATTGTAGAAGTCCCTTTCCCTCACCACCATTAAATGGATGTATGAAAGTCTCTAGGGCAGCTAGGTGGCACAGTTGATAGAGTGGACTCCTGGAGTCAGGAGGACCTGAGTTCAAATTCCACTTCAGATACTAACTATATGACCCTGTGCATATCACTTAACCCTGTTTGCCTCAGTTCCTCATCTGTAAAATGACCTGGAGGAGATGGCAAACCACTTCAGTAAGTTTGCCAAGAAAACCCCAAATGAGGCCACGAAAAATTGGGCATGACTAATCCACAAAACAATAGCAACATGAAAGTCTCTGAAAGAGTTGCACATTTAAGCAGGCTGTGTCAATGACAGAAATATGACCCAGTAGTTATTTACATGACTTGCAATATCTCTAGTCATATTATTCTTGATAAATCAAAGTGCTCACAGAGAGTGAAGCAGATTTCACATAAAGGGTTAAACACTTCTATTTTTAAAAAACACAGAAGAAGGAAATAGAATTCTAAAGGCAAAAGTTTCCATAACTGTTGAGGTTGTCAGTTAGCTGAAGAGGCAATGGGAGGCCTAGCAGACCCTTGCTAAGTAACATACAATAAACACTGTTTTAATAAACAAGTTATCTTCTTTCTTGATATCTGAAAGGGTTCTCACCTACTTTGTGCACGAATAGAAGAAAAGCTGTCATTTTCTGGATGTCTCTAATAAATTATACAGGGTTTCTTGAGTGCTAAGGCTCTAATGAGCTTGGCTTTAGGAATTCCTTTGGTTTTATAAATTGGTTTCTTAGGGTTTGAGCTTAGTGAGATGAATAAGCTGGAGGCTTCATACTCCCATAAAAAATCATCTTTCACAGAATGGTTACAATGGGATTTTTATTTTTCTATATACAATACTCCTAAATACCTCTGTAGGGTTTCCTTATACTGACAAAATTGATATTCTCTCTTCAGCAAAGTAGTGAGCAGTATCTTATTGACAAAAATTTCCAAAGCAGAGGGTAGCTAAGTGGCACAGCAGATAGAGCACCGACCCTGGAGTCAGGCGGACCTGAGTTCAAACCCTGTCTCAGACTAGACACTTGATACTAGCTATATGACCCTGGGCAAATCACTTAACCCCCAACTGCCCCCCCCCAAATTTCCAAAGATGCTAAAATCATCTATTACAAGGAAAGAACCTAAAAAGTATTTTACTAACCTTCAACCAGCCCTACTGGATATAGAATGCTGACTATCCGTATAACATTTTAAAAAGGGCATCATGATAATAAAGTTTTGGTTGCCTTTTTCAAACTCAAAAATATTAGAGCTGTTAAAAATATTACGTTTTTTTTTGTAAATCTAGGTCTGAGAGATATACAGTAACTTGTAAAATTCTTAGACGCATAGCACCTATTTAGAGGTCTGAATGCTGCAATGACGTAAATAGCACAGAAATATAATTCAACAGATGAGAGGACTGACAAAGAGTAGGATCCTTGGGGCTCTGTGCCTAACTGGAGTTGACATGATTTGCCAATTATGTTACAGACCAAAGGAAACTATTAGATTGATAATCTCCACACCAACTACATTATCTCTTAGTTCAGGAACTGTTAGAAATATTTACTATTTAGCTGACTATCCAAGCATTATTAGACCATTTCGACACGCCTGCATAATAGTCCCTTCTTTTACTGAGGATTTAAAAAAAAAAAGTCTGCCCCAGCAAATGAAGTCATTAGGCCAATCAAAAAGAAAGGGAATTGAGTATTTGAATCTTCCTCTCAGCATAATCAATGCCTTTGAAACTTGTTAGATGTGTCTGGATATTCAGAGTTTAGGAAGCCAGGAGCCAGGAAGATGTGGGAGCACGCCCTGAGGTTGCATTCCTGCAAAAAGAGGAAACCTTTTCCCCTGCCAGAATCGGGGGGGGGGGTGCGGGGGGAAAGGGCCGCGCTCCCCATGTACGCAGAGTCGCGCCACTCCCAGAGCTGGGGGGTGGCTGGGGAAGCCTGGGAGGAGCTGGAAGGTGCAGCAGCAGCAGGAATCGAGGGGAGCAAGTAGAATTTCCCGGCTTTTCTGAGACCAACCACAACTTGGAGAAATGCGACGCAACTGCGTGGAAGGCACCAGACAACAGGCCAGACAGCCAGAGGAGTGAAACTCCGAGCTTCTTACATAACGTATCACACACACACACACACACACACACACACACACACACACACACACACACACACACACACACACACACACACACACACTCCGTCACACAAACACGTACACACCTTTCTCCCACTCCCTACCCCCCACCCCCACTTCCGTCTCCCCTGCCTAGCACCTTCCTTCGCTTTGGAACTCTTAGCCATTTAGGACCGCGCGGAAGCCGCGAGGTGGGGGTCGAGGGAGACGACAGAGGAGTAAGAAGGGGGCGGGGCCTTCGGAAGCTGGCGGCTCCAGAGGCCGATGGGTGTGACGCACAGCGGCCTCAGCCTCTAGCCCCGGCCGCTGATTGGCCAGAGAGCCAGTGCGTGGATGCCGGCGGCGTCCATCGCTCCCTCCCGCCCCCTCTACCCCGCCCCGGCCCTCTCTTCCCCTCCTTTCCCTCCAGCCCAGTCCTAGCTCGCTGTTGGGGAGCCGGTTCGCCGCCGCCGCCGCCGCCAGCTCCTTGGCTCCGTGTGTGCGGGAGGAAGCGCGCGACACACACACGTCCGGACACAGAGCCCGAGAGTGGAGGGCGCCGCCGCCCGCCCCGCAGCCGGGAACACCCCGCCCTCTCGCCCGGCGGGGAGACGACGACGACGACGACACCGCCACCCCTCCCGGCTGCCGGAGCCGCCTCCTCCGAGCCGCGGGGAGACTCTCCCCCGGCCTCCCCCGCCCCCTCCCCCACCTGGACTCCGGAGACGGCGGCATGGAGGGGCTCGGCTCCTGACTCTCGGGCGACCCTCGCCCTCGGCTCCCGCGCGCCGCCTGCCCGTTCCCTAGCCTCCGCCTCCCCCCCGCACACGCGCCCCTCCGCCTCCGCCTGCATGTCCGCGCCGCCCTAGCCGAGGATGCTGAAGATGAAACTGCCCCTGAAGCAGACTCACCCCAAGGAGCAGCAGCAGCAGCTGGAGGCTGAGGAGCAGGCGGCGGCGGAGGCGGACGGGCGGATGGGCGTCAAGGACCCGCTCCACCGGCGCGACTGTCACCTCCCGCTGCACCCGGCCGTGCGCCCACCGCTGCCTCCGGGCCCCGGGGGGCGCTGCCTCCGGGAGCGGCCGGGCCCGCTGCGTGGCTTGCTGCTGCCGGGGCCGCCTGTTGCTGCCGGGGCGGCGGCCGTGGCGGCGGCGGCCGGGGAGGGCATGTCCCTGCAGGGCGGCTGCGGCCCCGCCTCGCTGCTCCGGGACCAGGAGCGGGTGTACGAGTGGTTTGGGCTGGTACTGGGCTCGGCGCAGCGCCTCGAGTTCATGTGCGGGCTACTGGACCTGTGCAACCCGCTGGAGCTGCGCTTCCTGGGCTCGTGCCTGGAGGACCTGGCCCGCAAGGACTACCACTACCTGCGGGACTCGGAGGCCAAGGCCAATGGCCTCACGGACCCGGGACAGCTCGGAGACTTCCGAGACCCCGCCGTCCGCTCCCGCCTCATCGTCTACCTGGCGCTGCTGGGCTCGGAGAACCGCGAGGCGGCCGGGCGTCTGCACCGCCTGCTCCCTCAGGTGGACTCGGTGCTCAAGAGCTTCAGCTCCGTGGTCGCCTGCGGCCCCAGCGGCCGCCCGGCCCCAGCCCGCAGCGACCCCGAGCTGGGCGAGGAGAAGGGGGACAAACTGGAGGAGCGGGGCCCGGAAGGCAGTGGCGCGGCGCCCCGAGCCGACGGGCTGGGGTTTGGGGCCCAGGAGGAGCTTCTGCTGCTTTTCACTATGGCCTCCCTGCACCCGGCTTTCTCCTTCCACCAGCGGGTCACCCTGAGGGAGCATCTGGAGCGGCTTCGGACGGCCCTGCGAGGGGACCCGGAGAATGGAGACGTGGAGGAGTGCAACTTCCCTGCCCTCAGGGCCCAGGTAGACTTCTTCCTTGGGAGGGACCTGCGGAGTGTAGAGGGGAAAAGCGAGCCTCTCGTCCGGAAACATAGTGCTACTGTTTCTGTACCTAGAAACATCCTTACTAAACTGTATCTTCTAGACCTCAGTATTCTTCCCACTCTATTTCTCATAGCGTTAGTGTTAATCTTGTTTTTCATGTATTTCACCACTCTCACCCCCACCCGCCATAACAGAAAGCTCTAGAAATCATCCTCAGTGGTAGAATAGCCACAGAAAAGATGGGGATCCCGACTTAGGCCCCCACCATCTCTTTTGGAGGTTCCATTGCATTTTTTTTTGTCTTTTGAACCTACCCAAGGGTGCAGCGAGAAAGCTACCTTAGGAGACTTAATTTCTCTACTGAATTCCTTTCAAGTAGATTTAACCTTTTATAGTACACGTTTAAAAGCCCTAGTATGCTCTTCACTTTTTAATGAGATCTGGTGTGTCCAACCTACCTGATGAAGGTGTTGCTTGCCTCGGAGCATGGGCTGACTTTGGCCACAGCCTAATTCTGACTAAGTCTGATGTCCATCTAAAGAGTTTAGTGGTCTAAAAAAAATCATATACGAATTTATTCATTTCAAATAGAAGTAGCTCCATACACTCTTACAAAGTAAACAAAACAATCAAGAAATACTAGTTTTTCCCCCTTCACTTTTGCATAACCTGGAGCACTGGAAGCTTTTGGTTGTGTTAGTGTTTACACACTGGGTCCATCACCATATGTTGATTCCTTGCCGTAGAGGCTCAGATGTCATTTCCTAAGGATCTTATTGAGCAATCCAGGTGTGACTGGAGAGAATGTATTTGGGCCACTTTTAAACATTTTGATTTTAAAATTGAATTCAAATGTAGTTTTATAAAACCATCTGTGGACTAATGCAGTATTCTAGTTACAGTTTAGGTAACTTGTTTTAGTACTTAAGGGAACTCACTTCTTGGACTACATGCACTTCCTCCCCCTTTTTCATTCCTTGAAATCTCATCATTGGAACTCTGGCTTTTTCATGCAAAAAGCCAGGTGGACTGAGATAGGACTTTGTAAGTTTTGTGCCCTTACTGTGGCTTCTTAAAGAGGCTTTTTCCCCCCTTGCCTGGAAGTTTAGAGATGTAATGTACATACAGGAGCTTTATAAAATCATTTAACTCTTTTTCTAAAACTAAACTTGCTGTGTACATTTTAATTCTCAAAAGTTTCTTAGTATTTTTAAATGGGGGTATGAGGTCATTCTAATGTTTACTATGGATTGCTAAGTAATTTTGTCGTGGGAAATAGAGGTGGCTGAAGTTTTTCTCCTTAAAAATATCCCTTCTCAGATACTTAATATATATTATATGACGGCTTCTTAGATTTAGATGGTGTGGGCAAGCCTAGTTGAAATCTTGAGGAAAGGGCTAGAGATGATAACAAAATCATTTTGATATCCCCCAGCACTTAAAAAATAGTTTGAGTATTTGAAGCTTTACTTGGCAGAGAAATGTTCAAATTCACCTGCCAAGTTGTTAAGCAGCAAGAGTCTGTGGTTAGAAGTAGTTGAAATAGAACTTGGTCCTTTCCTTCTGGGAGCTTACATTCTGATAGCGAATTGCCTTGATTTGTCCTCAGCATTGACCAGTAACTCATGTATCTAATCTTGATTTTGATTTCTTACTGGAAAGTTTATTTGAGAGGATTGTTGGGAGAAGAGTGGATGAAAGAAAGAAGTGTAGTGTGAAAATAAACTATTTTTTAAATCTTAACTGCAACCCAGGACATTTCCTGGCAACCAGTGGCCAGCTGGGAGAAGGGTGGTGGATGGATCTGTATTGGGCATCCTGCCATTAATTTCAGCAAGTCATTAATTTTCAGGAAGTATCCTCTATGCTACCTTAGTGGGAAGAGGCATGTTATGTAGTACTACAGGTGATCATTTTTAGAGGGTGGTTTTCAAACTTGTCTTATGAGAAATAAGTGTGCTTCCCCCAAATGTTTCTTACACCATGTTTAGGTCCTAGCATTTACTCCCTTCATCTAATCAAAAATAGTTCAGGCACATCTACTTCTCATAATAACGTTCTCATTGCCCTACACCGGCATATTCTGCCGAAGAAGAGCCCGGAGGATACTCATTCTCGGTCCTGTGACAGCAAGTACATCTTCCTGTCACTTAATTCCTCATGGGAAGGGGTTGACTGGCTGCGGAGCCCACACAGCTGTTCCCCTGTCCTCTCCTGCCAGCTGGCTTAGGGCAGGAGAAGGGAGCAGCCAGGGTCGGTGAGGGGAGGAAGGGGGGTTTGAGGAGCTCTTTGGCAGTCTGGGAGGAAAAGCCTTAAGCCTCATGGACTTCTTCCCTGAGGGGCTTGAAATCTGTCCCAGACTGTGAAGTGCCCTTGGCAGAGAGGATGGGGCGGGTGTGCCCGGGTCACGTGTTGCCGTGGCACAGTCGGAGGTGGGGGTGGATGCCGATTAGCAATGGGTCTCCATGTGGGGCTTCTACCCTTCCCCCTCAAGATGGCGGCGGGGCCTCTCCCGTCACGTGATAAGGGTAGTTGGGTCCCCGCCCCCTTTCGGGTTGGCTGGGAGCGAGCTGGGGGCTGAGAGCGTCAGTCTTTATGTAAGCTCTGTTCTCTCCTGCTGGGGAGGGGGGGACCCGGGGGAGTACGGGCCCAGCGGAGGGGAGGGGCGGGGCGCACGCCTGGGCGGTCGGCCAATGGGAGGCCGGGGCGGTGCCGGGGCTGAGAGTCCCTCCTTGCCCAGAGTGGGCGAGCCCCTGGGCCGCGTCCATTGTAGGTGAGGACCCGGGGGGTTTGGAGCGTGACTCCGGACCCTCGAGATTGGGGTGGCAGGGTTTCCTTTCTGGCCCGGCAGCTTGAGGAATCGGGCAGCTCAACGCAGCCTCAATTTCCAAAACTTTTAATTGTGACTCAACAAGTGTTCTGGGCTAGTGCCTTAAATTGTCGTTTTATTTCTGTTTCTCCGAGACGTTTATGGTGTCCGGATCAGTGCTCCGACACAGCGACCGCAGAAGAACAGAGCACGGCTGTCGTTTTCATATCAGTCTGGTCACAGAAAGTTGCCCAAACACAACCTTTCCAATAAACAGAATGTCTTACCAAACCTATGACAGTTTTAAATGAGATCTTATTTATCAGATCCACTTAATTCTTCCATATTTTTGAAAAGGATTTATCCGGTATTTCTTCTAAAAGTGAAAATATTTCACATTTCATTTTGGTGTTTCTGTAATACAAAGTTTACAAGATTGTATAGTAAATTTGTTTTGTTCCATATATGAGAATGCAGGATTGCGAGTATTAATTTAGAATTGCCTGGGGGCACCGAGAGGATAAGTGGTTTGCCACGGGTCAGGAGGTAAGTATGTATCAGAGGTGGTACTTGAACCCAGGTCATCCAGATTCAGAGGCTGACTGTAGTCCCATCCTACCCTTCTTCTATTTAGTACATGTTGTATTTTACTGTCATTTGGGTATTCGGAGATATTTTTTGAAATGGAAGTAATGTATTTCTTAAATTCTAGTAAGTTTCAGTAGACTGTTAGTATTATTTCCCCTAGTAGAAAAAGCTTATGTCATTTATCTTTACAAAATATATCCATTTGTTGTGAAATTCTACCATTACATAAGTGTCTGTAGATTATAGGAACATAGTGAATTTTCTTAGATATCCTAGGAAAAAGTGTAATTTGCTGATACTAATGAATGCTGGTTCGAGAAGAAAGGAGTGCTTTGACATGTAGGCTTGTTAATTGAAAATTAAAAGGAAAATTCTTAATCCATGCTAACTTTTCAAGTGGCAGAATCTATTGAAAACAAATCTGATTTGTTCAACTTAATCTTAAAATAGTATGTGACGCATTTTGAAAACTCTGGCAAAGAAAGAGCATCAGTCCATAATTTTTTCTTTTGTACTTTTTGAAAGAGATTGGAGAGTTATACTATGAGGAATGCTCCTGACTGCCCCCTTTTCCTGGAATGCTCTCCCCTCCTCAGCTTCAGCTGTTGACCTCCCTGGCTTCCTTTAAATTCTAACCAACTAAAATCCCATCTTTTACTGGAACCTTTTCTCAACCCCTCTTAATTCTAGTGCCTTCCTTCTTTTAATTATTTACTAGTTATCCTCTTTGTAGTTGGATTTATGTATATATTTGTTTGTATGTTGTCTCTCCATTAGACTGTAAGCTTCTTGAGAACAGGGGACTGTCTTTTGCCTCTTTTTGTAGTCCCAGCACCGTGGTCTGGCATGTGATAGGGACTTTCTAAATGTTTATTGATTGAGGAGATAAAGCCTGCTATTGAACCCCAGTTGCCTCACCAAAAGAAAAGGGGTGGGGGGACGATTGTATTAGACACTTAACAGTTTAAGAACTAAAACATATTTTAAATTTGTTATTCAGTTGTGTCTTACTCTTCATGAACTATCAACTGTCCATGGGATTTTTTTGTCAAAGATACTGGAATGGTTTGCCATTTCCTTTTCCAGTGGATTAAAGCAAACAGAGCTTAAGTGACTTGCCCAGGGTCACACATCTAGTAAGTGTCAATTGTCTGAGGCCAGATTTGAACTCAGATTTTCCTGACTCCAGGCCCATTGCTCTGTCCACTAAGTTACCTAGCTGCCTCCTTAAATTATTAATGATCAATAATTATATTATTAGTTATGGGTTATAATTATTAGAAATAGCACATTAATATAAATTGTATAACATAATTTATATAACGTATGTGAATAAATTTAGTTATGAATTATATAACATATTTGATATATAATATTTTTAGATATTAAATGAAACTACTGAATCACAAAAAGAGGTATATTTTCAGTTGTATGAGTGCTGAGCTGTGCTAGGGTAAAACTAAATCACTGTTTCATTTTTCCTTCCCTGTTACTATAAAGGGCAATACCATCTTGCCAGTCCCCCAGGCTCAAAACCTAGGAGTCATCTGGGATTCCTCACTGGCCCTCACCCCGCCTCTCC